TCCACTGATGCAATGGAGGTTTCCAGAAAGATAGCTAGCTAGTCCTTGGCACTTTGTAAAGAAACAGCCAGTAGGCACTACCTATGAGCCAGGAGAGGACCCTCACAAAGCATTGAATATACTTAGGCACCTTGATCTAGACTTTCCATCCTTCATGGCTGTGAGAAAATAATTTTACATATTAGTAACCTACTCAGTCTACAGTGGTTTGTTTTGGTTAAACCTGAACAAACTGAATGAAATAAGTGGTCAGATTTTATTAAGCTTTTAGTTAGACTTGACAAATGGTCCTGAATAGAAAACTACCCTAGAGTGTGAACCATTCAGAGTAAGTGCAGCATTCTCTAGGGTCTGTGTGTGCAAAAATCCTTACATCATGCTTTCTTGTTGTTCTGCGATGTTCTATGAAGAATTACCATTTTCTTTGCTCTGCAGTGTATTTGGTCTTTTGCCTGGAGATCTATCTAGGTTTCTGTTGTTGTTTCTCTTTGAGCATTTTCCTAGTCCAGTCTTGGGCATTAGCATTCCAGAATTCTTTTTGCAAGTATGTTGTGGCCCTTTTACAATGCAGCTCCAGGTCTTCATTTCCTGTTAGAAATTCAACATAGCCTACGGCTTAAATACTTGTTATTTCTCACTGTGTGTTGTCTGTTTTAGACTCTTCCGAGACTTCCTTCTATCACTTGGTTTCTCTCTGACTTTCTTTTTGTTCCATCCTTGCTTTATTCATCTCTATTCTCTTAACTTGTCTGCCTTTCCTCAAGGTCTCATATCTGATGAGATTTGCTGTCCCCTGGGTGCTAAGATAGCATTCATTTTTTAGAGTAATGCCTTTCCTTCTACTGCTTTCCTGATTTCATTCCATTCTCATTTCATGTTTTTCTTGAGTATATAAGGGGTAGCTATTTTTGCTCTAAACTTTGAATCTTAGGATTTAGTCCTTGTTTCATATTTTCAGATGCTGCTTTCAGATACTGATTCAGACAGGATGCATGTGAGAGTTTTCTCCTACTTTGTGTGTGATTCGGGTTGCAGTATTTTCACCATGGATGACTTTGATGCACTGATTTTTGTCTTGTTATTAGCTTTGTATGGATGCTGTCTGCCATTTTCTGTGCACGGCTAAGTACTTACACAAAGAGTTTATGTAGGCACAGCTGTGCAGCTAGGTGCCTGGTGATGTTTCCTTGTTCAAGAGCACCCTCTTCTGGTGTGGAAAAGATGAACTTCTTTTATTGACAGCACCTAGGGCGGGGGTCGTGGAGCAGAAGCTGATCTTCTGATTTTTGAGGTTTGATTTTGTTTGGTTGGACACTCTTCCTTATTTTCCTTCACCAAGGAGTCTCTAACTATACTTCTGTCATACAACCTCTTCTCACACAGTGCCTTTCTCACTTGAAAGCCTGTGCCTTTCTCACAGACCCACACACACACCCCATCACACACACAGCTGAGCCCTCATATGACCAAGTTTCAACATGTTACTTTTCATTCAGATGTGAAACTTGATTTTCCAAGAGTCAGTTGATCTGAGGTTTTGCCACAGTGATGCCACCATACCCCTCTCTAGTTTTCCATACAGCCTTATACCTAACCCTTCCCTCTGAAGAAGAGGGACCTAGAGTATATGCTCCTATTTGCATGTAATTTGAAGTTACTGTTAATTGTATTACAATGCAAGTGTATGTAGTGTGTGTGTGTGTGTGTGTGTGTGTGTGTGTGTGTGTTATGTGTGTGTGTGTGTGTCTGTGTGCACGAGTGTGCACATGCATGCACTCATGCATAGTGGGGGAGAAAATATCTGGAGATTCAGAGAATTCTTAAAACTTTTTTGAACACAAGAAAAGTAATATTTAGGATTTGTAACTAATAAACCTACAGCCATGCCCTTTGGTCTCCAGCCAGTTTTATCCTTAATGCTCAAAATGCCCTTGAGTCCATCATTTAACTCCTCCAGATACCCCCTTCTCCCTTAACAAAAGAACACTTGTATCCCTCTGTTAGCACTGCAGAACTCAGTCTTCCATTCTCATCAGCCCTTGCCTCTGCTCTCCACCTTGAGCACACAAACGAAATTAGCTTGCATTTATAACTCTGTAAGAAAATATTGAAAGAAAATGTGTCCTGTCTAAACAGGGTCATAGCAAAATGTAAATATTGACTAGTTTGCCAGTATTTTAAAGAACATGGAGGTCTCTGTTGGTTCTGTTTGCAGCTCATAACCAGTGATAGCTTGTTAGGAGTTGTCACTCCTCTGCATTGGGTTTCTTTTACAAGGTCAAAATGTTCTCCTTCAAACACCAGATACTCACCAAGTCCTAGGAGAAACTCACTCTTTGAGATCCCTCCCCTCTTTGCCATGTTTCTCCAGGCTCAGGGTCCTGCCTAAAGAACAACTCCCACTCTAGCGAAATATCTCCCTCCTAAAGGAGAACATAATTTAAAATAAAACAGCAAAGAGTCAGAAGGAACTCAGGGCTAAATGTGAAAACAGCCAGGGTCACTATAACCATTCTCATGAGTTATATTATGTTCTTAGCTCTCACGTGGATGAAGGGATGGCTAAAAACTCAATATCATAGACAATTCATTCCAGAAGGGTCCTTTACTGGTTTGCTTTGCTTTGTATTGAAATAGCACTTACCCAATTTTAAGTAGATATAGGATTTTAGTGGTTGAAGAAACTCATCCATTCTTAAGGCATCAAGGTTGAGAGACTAACCTGCTTCTTCAGTCAACTGCTCTTAGTTCCAAGAACTTCAACATTCAGGAAAGTCAAGAATAAATGGGCTTCCTTTATGAACTATTTATTTCCAAACAACAGCCAACTATCATCCACTGGCTCTCTATCTCTGCATCTGCATCCAGAATGCTGGTGAAGACAATGTCAGGTTAGAATAATCCAAGAAACACACATACATAGTGATGAACACATTGGGTAGAGTGGCAGAAAAAGACATGCTGAAACGGCTAAGAAGCAAAACCCCAAAAACAACAGACCTACAAACCTCTGAGCATGCCAAAATGTTGCCGTTTCATCCCCTGCACTCAACACCTCCACCAACCTACGTTCCATCAGGGTTCCTGATTCCATCCAGTTCTCTCTGGTTATCCCATTGGCATGGAACACGGGACAATGAAGAAATACAAATAAGATCCCCTTGTGTCTGGCTTAGAATTATATATGAATGCCCTATTTCTTAGTCCAGCTAAGCAAAGATATGTTGATGCTACTGGAGTGTGTTAAGAGTGACAAAAAAATTTTACAAGAAGAATATCCTCTTAAATCGGTGAACGGAGAAAAGCATCCCAAGCTAGAGTCTCACAGTGAAGGTGACATTCAAGCCCTGAAAGGGGCATAGGGATATGAAAATCTCTGGAGACAATAACACAGGATACAGTGACGACTCGTGTTGAGCACACATATAGGAAGAGGAATGAGCTACTGTCATCAAAGGGGAAGGGGGGGCACATCAAGGAATATGTGGCATGTAAACTTCTTCAAGAACCACTATGCCCTTTGTCCTCTGAGGTCCCCAGTTAGAACACTCATCATGTACCACAAGCCTGGGGATGTCTGCTACAGGGGGTTATTTGACCTAGAGGGCGAAACAACAAGAACACCCCCACCTTTGGATGTGGCCTTTTCATCTCACTTTAGCATGAACTCTTCTCATAGCTTCACATGGTCCAAAAGATTAGTGACTGTTTGGTTGAAGATGCCCATGCTTACTTTCATGGGAGACTGAAAGAAAAGGAAAGTTCTTATGGAGAGAGGGTGGTATCGAGAACTCAGAACACTGAAAAGTCGGTCAGCAAGCAGCTGCCCTGTAGAAAGTACAGAAATCATTTATGACCTTAGAGCTGACTCAAGCTAGTGCTGGCACTAGGTGAGACTAAGGCAGAAGGGTACAAGGCTGCACAATATCATAGTCAATGCCAGCACATCAAGTGCTAGTCAGAAAATGGCAGGAATAAGATTCAATCCAAGTGTAGCTATGCAAACCTGGCCCTTAAACAATCTCTCCAAGACTCTGCCCCTGTTTGTACAAAGAGCCCTTAGAGTAACTTTGAGGATTTCACATCCAGAACTCCGAGCACCTCCCCTGACAGACAGAGCTCAGTCTTCAATCATTGTTGCAGAGTGGATAACTCAGCAAACGTAATTCAATCAAGCTTATGAATGCTGAGTAACTCAATGTTCTGAAGCACAAAGGAAAACACACATCTGCTTTCTTAAACTTTCTCTACTCATGACCTCTTTCACTAAAAGAAATTTTATGTGACCCCAGGCATATAGCATATAAATCATATATACAAATCAAACATTTACTTGTTCTAAGTCGTAAGTAAGTTTATTTTAAAACAATTCTCTGGTATGAATATAACTTTACGATTCACTAAAGATTAATACAAAGTTGCATATTAATGGGGTGTATTGCTTATTTGTTTTTACACACAGCATTAAGTCTTTGCTAGCTATTTGATACTGTGAGATATACAGTATCTTCAATGTTTTCCAGAGGGGCTCAATATTTAGATTTTATAATCATTGATACTGAAAACACTACCTCACATAAATATGTAATAGAAAATGGCAGAAGTATGTTTAGGACCGTTTTAGAAATTGTTGGAAAATCTTTCCTAATCCCAAGCCAAAATTCAGTGAACAAATTTTTAAGAAAAGTCAATAACACTAACAGAAAATTTCAAAATCAGACATTCTAACACAACACAATAAGAAGAGATACTGATTCTATCCATGCTGAAGAGTAATGCTAAAAAATATTGTAAGCACTTGCCTGCCACAATTAAAGCATCATGGGAACCACAACTTTGCATGTACAGAAAAACACCACAGCAATGGCATACAATGTCCCAGGCAGGTGATGGGTAATATGAGGGCATATGTAGAACAAAGTACATGGTATGTGCTCAGAACCACAGCTGCAGGGGAGCCATGCACATAACACCTCACATTTGTGATGCTTCATTTTCAGAGAATTTTTGGCTGCTGGATGTTCAGAAACCTCATCCTGCTGTCAAAGTATCCCACAATCCCCACATTTGGCCATGTGATCTGAAATGGAGTCATGACCCACAGTTTTAAGGAGCCACGGATTACAGATACTACCATTCTGCTCTGCTCACTCTCACTATCAAAGGTAAAGGCTGCTGTACAGAAAAGAAAGCTGCCAAAAGCAGTCACCACTCCCAGAGACACAGGTGGAAGTGGAGAGTGTGATGGGGATTCTCTGAAAAGACTCAACTATGCGGAAGGACTTGTGCACACTACTCTTGCCTCGCATTGATTGATGTGAGGGTCACAAGGTTTCTCCAGTCCCCCAGTGTTCTGACTCCAGGATGGCTACATGGGCTGACTGGCCTCTGAGTTCTTTAGTTCTTCAGTTTTGCCTGGGGTTATGAAATCCTCGAATCCCAATAGTTTTTTAGGAAAAGTTTGGTTACACACTATAGTGCCATCAGGTGACTGAACCAGAAAAGCCAGTAAGACATCCTCTCAGCCCAACAAGACTTGGTGCTTCTAGAATGATCACATTTGTTTTGAAGTTTTAGTACAAAGGTGACCTTCCACAGAGAGTAGAGGCTACCCCTGGCCAGTCACCACAAACTGCAGGCTTAGCTCCTCCCCTCCTCCCCGCTCTCCTCATCCTGAATCAGAACACAGAGCTGTCCTTAGAAAAGCCTTTCCCCTCCTTCTTGCACATCCCAAGCTTCCCAGGGATGGCCTCCTACCCACCACCCACCTTTTCAGAGACTTGGAAAATACAGACTCGCTCTTTGGCTCTAGGCTTGGGAAGCCTCCCATGGAGCTCTTATCTTGCAAACCTTGCAAAGGACAGGCACTGGTGATTCAGGGCACTTGGTACAATTTAGAGCCATAAATCAAGAGACTGTCTAAGATTAAATTGCAAGGAGCCTTAGGCCAGACGCAAAAGCCCCGTGTTTAAACAATCTTCTCTAATCCCCTTGGCTAACAGGCCCTCCTGATTGGGAAATGGCAGGCAAGACTGCCTTGTGTGCAAGTCACAACACTGCCCATGGCTTCAGTATGTCCTGAGTAGGACTTCGAGAGGCTGCTGTTTCAAATTAGAGCCATTTTGATCTCATTTCTTCTATATTACCCCAAGGAGAAGCAAGAGTCAGCTCTGTTACTTTAAGAAAAATGTTCTATACGAAATCTACTTAAGAAAATTCCCTAGGTCTTTCTTGTCACCCTGCAGAACATGACATCAATGCCAGGGAGTCTTTCTGGGACCAGACAGATGGATAGCCAGCACTGTGACTCATAATGTCTCCCCAAATATAAAGTGTCAATCCTTGGGACCTCAAGTTTCCAGGCATAAAACTGACAGGAGCAATTGAGCTATATCAAGTGCGTGGCATTGAGGCATGTGAGGTAAGCCCAGCTATCGACCTCTGCAAGGAGGAAGAGGTTAGAAAGTACCACAGGGACGTCAGCCAGCTCCCTGACACCAGTGCCCTTTTTTACATGTCCAGAAGAGGCTGGCTGTTCTGAGTAATGAGGTGGCATCTCAGTTCTCTACATGCAAGGGTTTGTGTCACATTTGTACTTCCTGGAAAGTGTGAGGAACTGATTCCAAATGAGCAACTGGCAAAGAAAAAGATGTCAGGTACAGTGTGGCCTCCATCTCCCAGCCTTACCCTCCTGGGGTGCCCTGTGCTAGTGCACCTCTGGGGGAAAAAAAAGTGTTCTTTCTATGTCATTCATCTGCCGTTTATAACATGGCTACTTCACTGCAGTACCCATTAGAACAAAGGAAAAAAGCTCTCCAACAAAATCTGTTAGAAGGCCCCTAACGTCATTGTGAGACAGCCCTGCATCCTATTTCTCCCCAGCTTCACACTGACTTAATGATGAACACCCCTTAAACTGTGATGTGTTATCATCTTGGAACTGGCTGAGAGGGAGTAGAGGTTTGTGGGGCTTCATCTGCTTAAAAGGATTAAGGCTAGAACAATTGCCTTCAGTGGCTAGATTCCAGCTGTAGTGAGATCCATGGATGCAACAAGTTACATGGCTCAGAGAAGTACAACTAAAGAGAGGAAGTTGATTACAAACACACAGAAGAGCTAAAAGTTTTCTATACATTGTTCACTGGGTCCTCCTAGTAAAGCTATGGAATGGGGATTAGGACATGGCCAGAAACAAGCTGAAATACCTTTGTAAATTTTCCTAGGTCACACCTACTGACCTACAAACACAGGAGCTGAGCTTGGTGCAACGAAGCAAGTGAGTGTCTTGTGACAACTGTGGAACTGCTCCCAGGACAATCAGCTGAAGTGAGGTGGGTTCTGAGGCTCCTGAAGTGTTAAGAAGGCATATGACGTGCAATATTCTAGAAAAGGAAGTTTTCTAGAATACATGGGGAAGTGGATCAATGGCTTTCAAGCAGGAATTATTTCTCCTCCAAGAAATACATGACTATATCTGAAGACACTACTGACTGCCATGAATCATGAATGTTCAAACAGTCCAGTTAGATAGCTGTTGGTTAGACTCTTGAGGATATCTTGCCAGGCTGGTGTTTGTGGTTCCCAGGCTTTTCAGCTGGTAGGACTCCTCACAGCTTTTCTCCTTTGGCAGCTTCCAGAGCACCTTCATATACTATGAGAGCTATAAGGCTGGGGAAACAACATTGGACCAAACCAAACCCTCTGAATGTGGGTGGCAGCTAGGAGGCCAAGACAGTCTATGGGACCTCTAACAGTAGAGCCAGTTTTTAACCCTAGAGCACAAATGGACTTTAGGAGCCCATTCCCTATGGAGGGATACTATTGCAGCCCAGATACAGCAAGGAGGGCCTAGCCCTCCCCCCCAATGATATAAAAGACTTTGAAGGTCCCTCATGGAGGGCCTCACTATCCCTGAGGAGGAGTGGGGGATGGGTTGGGGGTTTGGTCGGGAACATGGGAGGATGGGAGGGCAAGGGAATGGGGGGATGGGTATGTAAATATGGGTAGTAATTAATTTAATGGTAGTAAATATGGTAGTAATTAATTTAAAAAAAAAAGAGAGAGAGAGACTTCCTGGTCAGTTCCTGCTCAGTTCCTCCAATTCCTGTGTCTAAAGTGTGTGGTGTCTTCAACAACAGGGACTCTCCTTCTCCAGGGATGAGCTTCCTAGCAGGTTATCCAATCCTAAATGATCAACCCTAAACCCATGTGTATATAAGCAACACAAAATGAACTCAATAGATTGTATTTACTGTAGGGAGTAATCCTGTTTAGAGGTACTGGTGACCTGCTTGGGGCTAGCCACAGGTGCCACTGACCACGCCTGCTTGGGTGTGGTCAGAGTGATGTAGCAAGGATTTAAGTAGCAGAGAGGCACACACATGGCTCTTTTCTCTCTCCCGCCTGGCTGAGCGGACATCTGCGGGTCACTCCGGCTCCAGTGTAAACCTGGTCACTGGCCCTTGTGTGAGTACTATCCCTTTATTGACCTGTTGTCAATCTAGTTCTGACTCCATTGCGTTGGCTTTAACTTACCTCTGTGTGTGTGTGTGTGTGTGTGTGTACATGCATGCATGCATTTGTGTGTGTGTGTGTGTGTGTGTTCGAGTGTGTGTGTGTGTATATGTGTATTTAAAACAATAATAGCTAAAGAAGAGGCCATGAATTTTATAGGGAGTGAGAGGCCCCAGGATACAGGAAGAACTGGAAGAGGAAGAAGAAGGTATGGACAAAGAAAGAACCTACTGAACAAAACTAGAGATGCTGCCAAAAACCTTCCCCCACACAGAACCATCCCCACATCAAAGCATGAACTGGCACAGGATATCCACAGTTCTAAGGCTGAGAAATCCTGGGCTTGGTGGTGTTAAGGTTCTTATAGAAAGACAATTAGAGGCCTTAACTTGTCTTTCTTACTCATATATGGGCTTCAAGTCTATCATCCAATGTATTCAGATCAAGTCCACAGAGGCCACAAGAATGTCACATGTCTCTAGGACCCTTTCAGTTTCCTTTCCTGGAAAGGAGTAAGTGAATCTGACCTCTCTACTTCTTACACCTGTATCAGGACTTTCAAGATGAATATGAACCCAAGAAATGGAGCCATCTGTAGAATTCTAGGGATTTGGAGACCAGGGGACTCTAGAGAATACCAAAGGAAAATGTCAAGATGAGTGATATCCTTCAGTTTAGTGAAAGCAGTTTCAAAGCATGCCCAGTTTAAAAAATGAACTCCCTGAAAGACCAACTTTCGAAAAGCCAATTCCCAGGAAAGTAGTTCTTAGGTCACTTTGCTAAGTGACCAACTCCCCAAATTTCTGAAATCCACATGTCATGATATCTAATGGAAGGATCTATACTTTAAATTATTCTGCATGTTTTCCACAAAAGCTTCTTGGCATACTCTAGTTTTCAGAGAGGGATTTTTTTTCCCTCACTAATTCTGATTTCTTTTAGGTGATTTGAATGGAAATTAAACTTTAAATTACATTTTCAGTGAATATCGTTTATAGTTCTGCTTGATTTTGAGTAGTTTTTTTTAAAGTCAATGTATTTTAGTTAAATTAAGAGCTAATTAGAAATATATATCAACTTCACAGCAGGGAAAGGCACAATCAAAATGAGAATGGGATCCAAGCATGCCCAGAAGAGCCTATCCACACTGAGGAAAAAGCCATTAGAAGCAAGAGAGACAAGAATAGTTGCTTTTAAAACATGGCTAGAGCAATAGACCAGGGTAGACTGGCTACTGGGAAAGAATGCTAAAATTTCACAAGCTTAATGACACTATTCCCTGACTCCATTCTAAGTATTTGTTCTTACACCCACAGATAAGCATACTCTTCACCCTCATGAAGAAAATGTCTCTTTGCAACAGACAAAAAACCATTACAGCCAACCATAACCAATCAAAACCCAGAGTAGTGGATCCTAACACCAAACGGTACATCTATAAGACAACTCCTGAACCTAATGCTCAGGAGTTACTGGACAAAGGCGGGGTGGAGAAATTGTAAGATCCAAAGGAATAGGGAGTTTGCTGTGAGAGTGTGACTCTCACAGACGCCATACCCATGAAGTCTCACCAATATGGCTGTCTCAACAGGAGATGACAGGGAAACACCAATAGACATGCTGATTATGGAAAGCTCACAAGGCCTCAACCCTGAAAAAAGAACCACAGGCAACAAAGGATGAGAGGGGAGAAACAGCATTCCCCAGGCAAGAGCACTCCAGTTAGCTAGCCAATACCAAATGGCCAGCCTCAGAAACATGCATACCAGTAACATAGAGCTGGAGTGGGTTGGTTGCTTTTGTGTGTTTAGGGTTGTGTGTGTGTGTGTGTGTTGTGTTGTGTAACAATTAAGGAAAAAGAGGCCATGAATTTGGGAAAAAAAAGAGTGAGTAGATAGGAGAGTTTTGAGGGAGGGAAGGGAAGGGGAAATGGATGTAATTATAATATAATCCAAAAAGAAAACCAAAAAAATATTTTCTAATTTACTTTTTATTACTTTATTTTAGTTTTTGTTGGTTTTTTTTTTTTTGTTGGTGGGGGGGGGAGGGGTTTTTTTTTTTGTTTTTGGATTTTTTTTTTTTTTTGAGACACAGTTTCTCTGTGTGGCCCTGGTTGTCCTGGAACTCTCTAGACCAAGCTGGCCTGGAACACAGAAATTTGCTTGCCTCTGCCTCCTGAGTGCAGCATACCCAGCATTAAGTTGTTTTTTTTTTTTTAAATATGAAAATCTCAAAGAAAAAGTTGCTAGTTGCTTGGCTGATTTACTAAAAAGGGAAAATTGGCCTTTGTTGCAAAGCAAAGATTTTTCTGATAATATCTACCAAGTCAATAAATCCTAATTGCTTATTTTCAAATTGGCATGTTGCTGGTAATGGAAATTATTATTTTAGCCATTTTTGCTTTTTATTGTATTTAAATGCCATTTTTCATTTTCAAAAACATTAAGCTCTTTTTAAAAAGCATTTGTCAGTTCTCCAAACAGCATATCTGCCTTAATCATGCATTCCTGGCAAGATGACATTTAAACTAAATTTTGCATTTATATCCAAGGCACTGGAAACATACTAGAACTTAAAATTAAATTTAAAGCAAGTCTTCACTATTATGAAAATCAGACATTTACATTTAAATTCAAAGACAAAGTAAACTGGTTTGGGGTTAGATTAAATTAACATTTTATATCCAGGGTATGCAAAGAAAATCAAAAACACCCATCAGCCAAAAGAGCTCCACATACTTAGCAGCACAAACTGCAAGGTTGCTATCAAAACCCTGAAATGTTGATGCTAATGATAAATATGTGTTTCATTATGTTCTGTAAGTGATAGTAACAAAAGTGAGATCTCCCCATTAAACTGTTACAAGGCTCCTCAGTGAAGCCACCAAAAACTCTAAGCAAATATTACAAAGTATCTGGTTTGGTCTGGTTTGGTACACTGTACACATTAGGCAGTGTAAATCGATTACTTTGTAAATTGTCTACCTAACAACAGGTCTGGGAGTGTTTGAATCTGAGAAGAGATTGCTGTCAGACTAGGAATCCTTCAGGCTGAGCAAACTGTCCCTTCCCCGTGGCATTCCTCCTGGAAGCTGTCAAATGGCTTAGCTTTATCTCTACACATGAGCATGGGGTGACTGTGTAGTCACAGGGGTACAAGACAAGTCCTCACCCTAAACCCTTCCCTGGTGAAGGGAATAGGATATTTGAATTGACAGCAACTATCAAACATCACCACTGTAAACAATCCTTTGGCAGAGGTGACAGGATGGTCACAAATGATCGATATAGACTTGGAAAAGAGGAAGCTCATACCCAGGGCCAGAGAGATGGCTCCATGGGTAAAGAAATTTACCTATCAAGTCCGATGACCTGAGTTTGATCCCAAGAACCCACAGTGGTCTATGAGAAACACGCACTCAGAAACACGCACTCTTTATTTTGCAGATGAGAAATTCAAGTCCAAAATGGCAAACAACTTGGCCAAATCACGTGGGGTTGGAAGAGGAACTGGGGTTAGTAGCCAAGACTCAGGTCTCTGCTGCCCTGCTTCAGAGTAGGCACAGGGTCAGGGAGGACTTGCTGGTGCCTGGCAGAGAAATAGAGAAGGTAGGTGATAATGTTCCCCGACCCTCCCACTACCACAGATGAGAGGAAAGTAGTTCTTGCCCAAAAGAAGGGGCAGTGCTCATAACAGGTGGCTCCAAAAAACTTATGAGGTGACTGGAACTGGTTTTGGTCCCTTATCCAAGCTAACATACAATACAAAGAGCAAAGGGCTGAAGTGGGGTAGTGTTCTCCTGAGAGCCAGGACTGTAGCAAGAAGTTGGCTGTACAGATCAGTGGGCACATGATAAGAGTGCAGTCTCCCTCTCCTGGTGGAGGGCTTATCACCCTGCCCCTACAGTGCTGTTGCCAGAGAGAGTTCTCTCCTAGGTCCTTTGAGTCCCTAAACAGGAATCCCTCCCCTCTGGTTAGACATACTGCATCCAATCAGCCAAGCCAGAAATACAGTCATGTATCTAATCAGTCAGACCAAAGTGGAGCAGGCAAAAAAAGAAGGCAGGCTTGGGGATTTACAGGGGCTCTGAGGCCCTACTGAAGTCAGTCCCCAGCTACCAACAGCCTCCCTGAGGGCTGTGCTAAGGCCTGGACAACAGAAGACAAGCCACTCCTGAGAAGAGCCACTCCAAATCTAGCTTGTAGGCCAGGAGATCAGTCCTGCCCATGAGCCAGATCTGCAATTGTGGATATGCTTGTTATCTACTTTACCCATAGCGTGCCCACCAGCCACAAGTGGCACTTGAGCCCTAAAACCAGCTAACGTGACTGAGAGCTAAGCTCTTCATCTTACTTTCTTAAACTCATAATGACACAAGAAGCTAGAGACCACCAGACTAAACAGTATCTCCTTGGACTAGACTTTTCCCCTTTGGTTGTTTCAGACTTGCCAACTATAAAATGAAAGACTTGGGTTCAATCAACTGACCCTGACATCTCATGTGGCAGGGCTTTTTGAGTCCCCTTCAGCAAACATCCTATTGGTGGATGCCCACCTGCCCTTCTGCCCTGAGCTGTTACCTACTTTCTCTACTGTACCACCTTGGTGACAGAAGAAATAATTACTTCGGCCAAATGAAGGCACACATTGTCATCCCAATCTTTTAACTCTTTAAATGAGAAACAAATTAGCAATATGCTTGGCATAAATAAGGATCTCAATTTATTCAGCCCACATATCTACTTGCCTGGAATTTCAACACATCTAGTGGTTTTTAAATATGTACAAATTCTTTGACAATCTTTTACTGAGTTGTGGCAGGGGAATGTCCCTTCACCATGAACATGAGCAGGTATGTAATATTAGAAGAATATGATTAGATAATGCCCAAAACCAGGTTGTAAAGAACCATGCAGGCCCAAGTCATTCACTGGGTCACTCCCTCTTGGAGCACTGGATGTTCATGTCAGAGTTTCCACTGTCCTGCAAATGTGATTCCAAAAATGCCACAAATAGGTGCTCCAAGTGACACCATCCCAGCCAAGACATCAGACATGTGGAATGAGAAGTCACCTTGGAAGTGGTCCTCCAGTCCCAGCCATCCCAGCTGAGGTGAGAAGCCTTATGGGACAGAGAACACCCCTATTCTGTCCATTTAGAATCTCTGACCCTCTGAACCTGGAGGTCGTGATACAGTGGAGGTTGTTCTGCATTCTCACTACTTAAAGTTTGCTTTGAAGAAATACATGTCAGAAAAGCACATAACTAGATGAGGACCTTGATGGACAATGACTGTGTTCTTCCAGGGAAGGGCTCCCCAGCAGTCAGGTGAAAAGAAGGGATCTTTGAACTTCGTGCTCAAGTTTGTCCTGCCTTTGCTTATCAGTGGTCCTCTGCCCTTAGATAAGATGCCATTTAGCTTCTGCAAAATGGGATTCTTGCAAAATGATGGAACAAGGCTTGTGAAATCCTTAGTGGAGTTCTTGGCTCAGGAATTCCTGTAGGGAATGCATCAAGATGAGGCAGCCATACATGTTGTCAGTGATGCAGATCTTGGGGCATGGCCATGGACACTGAGTGCTTATGAAAGTGGATTTTTTTGTTTGAAAATTGTTAGTAGTCTGGATATTGGAGATAACAAATGGTTCAAATTTAGAGGACTGGCATGACACATCAACTACAACTCTTCTCAAGATACTGACATATTGTGTATAAATTCGCCTCCATGGTTTAGGAGCTGAGATCGCCTGCTTCTTTAGACAATGGTGATGATGTTGCAATAAAGAAAGACAAAGGACATCAGAACCATTATGCACTCTGCTCCACATGATGGCTTCAAGATCTGGAATCATAGCTGTGCCCTGAATCTTGTTGGTGCTCACACTGGGACACCTGTTCCATAAGCTGTGAAATGACACTTTACTTGCTTTCCATCATACCTCCCAAGTGAAAATTCTTGTCCCACCTCCCCACCTGTCTTTATCTCCTTCCTTTGTCTTTCTCTCTGTGTCTTTATCTCCCCACTCTGTCTCTGTCACCCTGTCTTCTGTCTGTCTGTCTCTGTGTGTCTCTATGTATTTCTGTCTCCCTCTCTCTCTTTTCCTCCTCATTTTTATCTCTCCAACTCAAAACATTGTCTTCCATGAGACAAAGCAGTAATGAGGGAGAGAGATGGGACACTGGGGGCATGTATTTTCTAGAGCCAAGCACCATTAGTATGGCTGCTGGGGAGCACCCAGGTCAGTGCTGTCCTGAAAAGCTCTTCCCTCTCCTCCAAAGACTGAAACCAGCAGACTCACTTGGTAAAGAAGAGCAGATGGCAAGAATACAAGGACTTTATCTCTGGAATTCTACTTCAGCAGTAGTCCAAGAGACTCACGGGGCAGGACACCCCTTTCAGCTTCCCAGCTGAATCTCAGGTACCAGACACAGCCTGGCAGCCCATGTTCTTCCTCTGATGTACCTGTCACCAGGAGCTTGGCAGCTGGAGGATCCAGAGACTGGCTGAGGTGGTTTTCAGGAGAGAAGTGTGCTCCAAGGCTGCAGCATGTTGCTGAGCAACACCTGGAATGTCAGTGGAAAGAGCAGTGGGGGATTGCATCATGAATGCCGGGTCAAGTTAGAGGAGGTCACGCCTACCATTTTGTTTATCCTGTTTTCTCATATTTGAAAACTACTTGAGGGTTAAAAAGAGAGAGAAGAGTGGGATGAGCAGAATCACAGTGCAGGCAAGGCCAGGCTGGCTTCACGCCTAGCTTTGGACATACCCTTCCTTCTAAGTTTGTGACCTCAAAAAAGGGTCTTACAGAATGGACAGAGTCCTTTGAACCCTTTGGCTTAATCCCTCATAATTTCCTTGAGCCTCGTGTTCTTTATTCGTAAAGTTAGCTGCACAGCCCCAGAGATCCATAGTGGGGCTCGTTGGATGATGCAGTGTTCTGTCTTAGCAGAGGAGCTGAAGAGTTCGGTGTTTTCTAAGCATCAGGCACCACTTTCCTCCCTGCTTCTTCTTATCCACCTTCATGAGACAGAATATCCTTTAAGCCTTTAAAAAAATTCCAAGCACAAAGCCATAGGCAGAGGGACAAGTTCCTACAGTTCCTACTAGTTCAAGGCACGTACATAAAGTCAACCTTAATAGCCGGCTTTCACTTTGCACCTGTCCCTGAAGAGCTCTCTACCTTTCAGGTTGATGGCATCAGTCTTCTCCAGGAACAGCTGAGGGAGATCAAGAGCAACAGCCCAGGTGACCCTGAAAAGCTGCACCTTAAGAAGGTGACTGATTGGGCCGTGGATGTTCGTGTGCAGCAAAGACAGAAGTGAGGCTGGCCCATTTCACATTGTTCCCCCTTCAACCACAGCCAGGATTCTCATGTGTGCCTCTAGTCTTCAGGAAAGAACCAGACTGTTCCACGCCCTGTCAGTGTGTGTGTGTGTGTGTGTGTGTGTGTGTGTGTGTGTGTGTGTGTGCACGCACGTGCATACAGGATTCCCCACACGTGCTGAGAACATCTAGATCTCAATGATCATCAGAGCTAGTGAGTCAGAGTCTTGGAGGAGGTGTGCCCCAAGGCAGAAGCTCTCCAGGGATGCAGTTTTCATCCACCAAGAACCACTTCCCTCCAGCTTGGATATGAGACAACAGCATGCATCTGGAATGCCCAAGTGCTTGTAAAAGATTATTACTAAGTAAGAGTGGATGATGATAATTAATTACCCTCCATTAAAGAGAAAGTCCCTGGAGCAGATGCATCAAAGGCAATATTCCGCTGAGTCGGCAATTTCTTTGACTATGCAATAGGATGACTCCTTGGCCTTCATCATGTGCCTGGTTTGTCCTCTCCAATTCTGACTTGAACAATGCCTCTTGACTTTGGACAACTTTTAGTTCCCATCTTTTCCCTAGCCACAATCCAGTAATCATTATTATTAAAAACTTACTCCAAGGTCACAAACCCATTTCACAGCACTCCTTTGATAGGATAATTCATGGCTACACTCTAAAGTCCAAATTAAAGGAAAGACACTCTTAGTAAAGAGAAAAATCTCTCTACCATTCAACATGGAGGAAACTATGACAAATAGACATCTAAAGAGATGCTCCATCTCCTGCACAAATCACCAGTAGGGGAGGAGTTGTCATAACAAAAAAACATGGCATGGCTCCAGAAGAAGTCCAAAAGCCAGCTCAACTGTCCTCCAGCTCTTGCCTATGAAGCAGACATCTACTCTCTTAGGAATAAGTATTTGGGGCCAGGGAGATGGCTCCATGGGTAATATTTGGTATGCAAATGTATAACCTCAGCTAGATTCCTTAGTATCCACATAAAAAGCCAGGCATGGCAAGGTGTGTCAGAAATCCCAATGCTAGGGAGGCAGACACAAACGGATCTCTCTAGAGCTTGCCAGTCAGCCAGCCTAACTGAAGCATCAAGATCTGGATTCGTAGAGAGACCCTGTCTCAAAAAATAAGATAAGGAGTAATTGAGGATGACCCTTGACATTGGTTTGTAGCCTTCACACACAGAAATACACACACATATACATACATACATACATACATACATACATACATACATACATACATACACAGAGAGAGAGAGAGAGAGAGAATATGTGCACAAACATGTACACACAGATAAAACAGACACAAACATTTGCTGCACAGTTCTTTGGGAAACATTCTGTCCTGGAAATCTAATCAGTAGACTTGTAACCAATGAAAAAGGCATTTGCTTACTGAGCAAAACTGACTACCAAAGGACCCTCTGAGAATCTCATTGTGGTTATCTGGGAAGGAATATTGCAAAACTTGTATAATGAAAAGGGTGCAGGAACTATAGAGTCAGAGAGCTGAGAAGTTTCTACTGTTCCTTCCAATGTGACTTTGGGGCTCTCTGTTTATTCACTACCTTATCAGAAAGACAATGCAGAGAAAGAATTATTACCTAAAGGGATTCACAAGAACCTGGGGTAGAGATCACTGATATGTGCCAGTACCTAATTCAGCTTCTGGGCATGGTGCCTTTTATCATATTAAATAACCACTGTCTTGTGAGATGGGGGTAGGGCATGAAGAGGGCCAAACTATCATATCCAGGGTCCGTAAAACTGCCTGGACCATGGCCTGACCCTTACCAAGGCCCGACCCTTACCAAGGAAGGAGACTACCAGGAGAGGCAAGACCATCCAGAGCTGCAGTCTTTGAAGTCTTGTCCCCCACACACCACCAGGTGACAAGAGGAGATAGAGAGACCCCACCTACACCCACTGGAAGAAGACATGGGAAGAAGACTGAATAAGAACACAATCAACAATAAAAAGACCAATATGACACCAACAGAATCTAGGGACTCCACACCAGCAAGATCTGAAAAGCCCAACCCAGAGAATGAAGAAGAAATGAACCTCAAAAATTATCTTAGGAAGATGATAGAGACCTTTAAAGAGGAAACAAGAAAATCCCTTAAAGAAATAAAAGAAAAAACAAGCAAAAAATGCATGCAGTGGAGGAAAAGACAAACCAAAAAATTCAAGAAATAAATAAATCTCTTAAAGAATCTAAAGAAAGCCAGGAAAAACAACCAAACAAGCGAAGGAAACACTCAAAACAGTTCAAGGCATGAAAGCTGAAATAGAAACAATAAAGAAAACACAGAATGAGGTGATGCTGGAAATAGAAAGGCTGGATAAATGACCAGGAACTAAAGATGTGAGTATAACCAATAGAATTCAAGAGATGGAAGAGAGAATCTTAGTTGTTGAAGACTCTCTAGAGGATATACAGTCATCGACCAAAGAAAATCTCAAGTCCAACAAATCCCTAACACAAAATATAAAGGAAATATGGGACAAAAGACCAAACCTAAGAATTATAGGTATAGAACAAAGTGAAGAAAACCAACTCAAAGGTGTAGAAAACATATTAAACAAAACCATAGAAGGACGCTTTCCCAACCTAAAGAAAGAAATGCCTTTGAAGTACAAGAAGCTTAAGAACATCAAATAGATTGGATCACAAAGAAAGACTCTTTACTCCAAAACAATCAAAACAGCAAACATACAGAATAAAGAAGGAATATTAAGAGCAGCAAAGGGAAAAGGCCAAGCAAGATATAAAGGCATACATAAGAGAATTACACCGGACTTCTTCATGGAAACTGTGAAAGCCAAAAGGTCCTGGATAGATATCCTACAAACACTAAGAGGGCATGGATACCAACTCAGACTACTGTACCCAGAAAAACTTTCAATCACTATAGATGGAGAAAACAAGATATTCAATGACAAAACAGACTTAAACAATACATATACACAAATCCAGCACTACAGAAAGTTCTGGAAGGAAAACTCCAACCCAACGAAGATAACTTACAAAAATATAGGCAATAGATAATCCAAGTTTACCAAACACAAAAAGAAACAGGAGGGTGAAATCTACACACAATGACACCACCAAAAATAAACCCAAAACAAACCA